ATTCAGGATGAATAAAAACTAGTATGGAATAAGTAAGTATATATATCCATTTGATTACAAGTTTATTGTGCATGTAGTGGATTTGTTTCTGAATAAATTGTGTCAAACTACTTGTTTATAAATCAAATATCGAAGAACCTTGGTAAGTTGACCACCTAATGGACTGTAACAAACTGGTCAACATATGGAGGTGGTCAACATAAAAAACTAGCCCTACTGTATTGAAATGTACATGTGGTACACGTTTGGTCTATGAAAATCAGGACAACTTAAGGAGGTGGTCACCGTAGGGAGGTGGTCAACTATAGAGGTCCTACTATAATATTGAAAGTGTGCTGGCAACATTTATATGTTAAAGAATCTATGATTAACCCTTTGTATAAAACAAAGGACTTTTAACAATAATTTGAATAATCTCTCCTTAACCTAAACTTACATAAGTTAAATATTTTATTTATATCACATGTTCCAACTTCAAAACACACTTATGTTAATCAGTCTGTAAAACAAACAGAAAGCAAGCAGTCTTTGAACCATAGAGCAATTCATTTTAATTCTAAAAAAAAATTACAGGAAATTGGATGGAAATGCCAAAAGACATCAAGAGGCACTCAAGCTGCACTAACAAGTTCTGTTCTCCCAAAGTGTTTAAGAAATCACTAAAACATTCTCTATTTAAGAAAGCTCCCACCTCTCTGTGACTCCCATGACTTGCTTATATTGCATGTAACCTTTGCTTATTCAGAATTTATAACATGTTGAGATATATGTAAGCATAAAAAATGGATTTGGAACATAAATTGCCTCACACACTGTGCTATTTTTAACTCCTGTTTCCCAATGCGTAGCTACTCCTTAATAATTCTTTAATCATTTCATCATTATTGGCCATATTTGGCTAAAAAAAACTTATCTTGGTATGTAAGACCAAGAAACTCAATGCAATATGGGTTCCCACACCGGTCCGGGGCTCTATGACCATGCTTTCCATCTAACCTAGAATCCTTTTTGTATAAGAAATATCAAATCTCATAGCAGCTCATTTAAAATCATCAGTATGGTGCCTAATTGCTTTTTATAGAATACCAAAAAAAACAGCAAATCATAAAGAATAAAGATGAAAATATGATATGAAAATCTTCATTATCACTGAACATAATGGAGTGGTCAGATGCTTTTTGTGTGTAGACTCACCAGGGACATAGCAGCTAAGAATATAGACCAAAAAAGGGTAAAAAATTCTTGGTGTAGGACCTTCCCTTTATTTATAAAGGATTTGCTTAATTGTAAAATTCAGTGTCTCTAACAAACATTATGTGAGATATAATAAACCAAATATAAAAAATATTTCGTATTTACATGTCAAATGAAGCGAGGTTCAAAGTTCAAATAAACAGCTTTTGTCTATGTGAATGTCTGACAAGGTGTTTGGCAGTTATGCTAATCTTGGCGTAGTTCATGGAATTCAGCAGAGTCCTGGGAAACGAAAGATATCTAACATTTCTCATCCGCACCCACAAAAACTATGGAAAACCATAATAAATAACCTACTCAAAGCGGTCCCTAGGGGGCAGTATTACCCCCATTGAAAGCCACAGGTTTGTGGACCGGGTATACCTCTAAGATACTTCTGGAACCTTAAATCCGCGAACGGCAGTGCAGAATGGAGAAAGATGTAACACATATCCCTTCTTACCTGGGGTTTGTTTTCCCCAAGTTGGTTGTAATAGCTACCTTAGCCCGCTTGCCTATGAGTCGTAAGTCTCCCCTTTATATTTTGACTGAAAGTGGGGTGGAGATGTTTGGTAACAGTGTCAATAATCTGGCCCACTAAAGACATTTCATGGAGAGATGACCAAACTGAAGGCTTAGAATAATGAGGGGCAGGGGAAGATTTGGTGCCATAGTCATCAACTCTGGACTTTCTGTGTAATTCTGGGGTATGCAAAACCAAATCTACAACTATACATTAGTTTAAAGAAGAGTAGCAGAGAGAGAGAATGGCCAAGAGGAGTACTTCAAAGGCAATCATAGTGATATACAGCTATGAGGCATATAGCACTTTTTCTAGGATAAGTTTGCAAACTTTGTTGTCAGATCTTGAACACTGTCCATTTTTGTGTTCTTGAGGGAAGTGAAAAAAAATTTTTGAAGCGAAAACTTTGAACTACACTGTTCGAATTTTTTCATACAAGATCTGTGTCATCAAATTTAACAAGTGTTCTTGAATCTTCTAAAAAAAGAATACTTCTACCAAACAAAATGTTTTTAATGTTGAATATTATTACGCATGGTGAATGATAGTATTTTAAAGCTGAGTAATCATTTAACAAAATGAAGTTAGATGATTTGTATGTTTTCCTTAATCTACATGAATATTTATGACATAGTTTAATTGACTTTATCAATACTGCCTGATTGTCTTCTATATACTAAAAAATATATAGAATGACAGTAATGAGGACTTGAAAGTTATGAAAGGTACAACCTCTCCCGTAAAGGCCCAAATATTCCACTGTGTCTTAGGTTGGGTTTCCTAGAAGCACAGCCTAAGATAAGGATTCTTGTCCAAGTAATTTATTAAGGGAAAACTCTCTGGAGAAACTTCTGGAGTAAGGAAAGCAGGATGGGACAAGAGGAGAAGTTAGTCAAAAGTGGTTTCAGAAGTCTAGTTTTGTCTTAAACCCATGGGGATCTCAGGAACTTCTCAATTAGAACAGAATTTTTAAGACCAGCATGATGGCTCATATCTGTAATCATAGCACTCTGGGAGAACAAGGTGGGAGGATCCCTTGAGTTAGGAGTTCTAGACTAGCCTGAGCAAGAATGAGAACCCATCTCTACTGAAAATAGAAAAATTAGTCAGGCATGGTTGTGGGTGCCTGTAATCCCAGCTACTACAGAGTCTGAGGCAGGAGGGTTGTTTGAACCTTAGAGTTTGAAGTTGCTGAGAGCTAGGCTGGCTAAACAAACAAAAGAGTTTTTCAGCCCCGAATCAAGGAGGTAGGCTTTTAGGATCCCACATAAGCCAGCCATTTGCTATAGGGCAACCTCAGGGGCAAAATGGAGGCATAATCCCCTGGGCATTCATAACCAGGTGAAGTGGTTCCCATCAGCCAAAGACAAACTTATGAGCAGGTTTGCCCTTGACAGTTAACACTCGCAGATGCTGCAAGATGGGTACCTTACCCTGACATGAGCAGGGCAACAACAGCCCCTGCTTAGCCTTATACAGAAGAAGCCAAATCACATACATGTGATACCCTTAAGAGTACCTATGAGATTACCTCCCAGCAAGTGCCATATAAGAAAGCACAGTTTGGAAGTCTAGAGGTCCAGTGGGAATAGAACAAGTCCTTGCTCCATGCTACACAGTTATAGTCCTTACCTAAATCCCCGCCCCCTCCAATCTTCTCAGCAAATCAACAAGGTAGGTAGTGTCATTGCTCCTGTTTTCCAGTAAACTGAGACACATACAGGTTAGGTAACTTGGTCAAGGCCACACAGGTAGCAAGTACAGTGAATGATTATTTTATTGGAAATAACATAGTAGGGCTTCCTGAAATAGAGAAAAAAAAATCCCAGACCCTACCTCAGATATACTAAATCAAAATCTCTAAGCTTGGGCTTAGATTTTAACAAGTTCCCTGAAGTGATTCTTCCACACACTGAATGTCAGAACCATTACCCAGAGGAAGGAAAAGCTTTCCCAAATGAAAAAAGCATGTCAAGAACATTGTCAACTGGTAGGAACGGTCAGTGGAAATACTTATGAAGTTTTATAGGTAGTCTGAAGGGATGAGAAGCACAGTGAAGATAAAAATGAGAATGGGCTATCAAATACCAAATAATTATTATATGAGAAGAAAGAAGCTTTTTAGTGTTTCTTAAAATTAAGAACAGAATGGAGAAAAATCAAAAGCATAGGGAACACTGGGCTTGGGTACCATCAAAGCGTTCTTTTCTACTTCTGTGCTAACCTATACAGGCATTTATCCTAAAAATGTCTTAAACGACCTTGTTCCCAGAGAACAGGATATTATAAGACTGAGAAGGAAAACATTTCCTCAAATGTTTTAGAAATGAAAATACCTTATAAACGCAAGGAGAGAGCCCAATGGCTGATACATACGCATATTACCATTACTGCATTTTTTATGTTGTTCTTTGAATTAGCATATGCTCTGAGTATGTCTACTTTTACAAAAATACTTCATTATAAAATTTGGACTAAAGGGGCAAAAAAAGAGACTGCAAGCATGATGCCACTTGGCTACAAAGAAATCTTTTCCGGACAATTTCATGGGAGTCAACTTCTAAGCCATCTTCCTTTCTACTCACTGATCTAATTGAGAGGGGCGAAGGATTGCTGAGAGATCGGGAAAAAGCAGATCTGTGGACCAGACTCACTCTGCCCCCTTCAACCAGCTACCTTTGGTCATCATTGTTACCCAATTCATTGTGACAGTTACATACGATTTCCAGGTATTGTTTGGAGAAAAAAATTTAAGTAATATACTACAATAGTTTATTTTCTGATTAAAAGTATTGTTTACCATTTTTCCAATTCACAGGTTTTTATTTCAATCCAAATTTATAATGAATTTATAAGGATATTTTTTATATGGTTCCTTTTTTAATACCAGATTAAATACTCTAGCAATTTAGGGGATTAATGGGCAGTCCTTCAAATGACTGTCAGTTACATGGCATAAATTATATGGTGGAGGGCTTTGGAACTGAAGATGAGGACTGGAAACACAAAATTTTACTCTCAGCAAAAGATCAGGGGAAGGGAGGAGCTTGAAGTATTTTAGATTACATACTGACTCAACTGACCTCTTCCCACAAACCTACTGACAGGTGTTTCAAGTCCAGTGCTTGATTTAATCATATTAGTGACGATTACACAGAAGCTTTAAAATCCCAAGGCTAGTGGGCAGTGCTGGAATTGTTCAGAGAGAGAGCTCATGAGAAACTGGCTATTGTGAGAAATTTAAAATAGAACAAACAACAGTTTACTTAGTAAGTTAAGAGCTAATGGAAATGGTGGCTAAGCTTGACTTGAAGAAAGTCTAACAATTCAGGTGCATAGACTAACTTTCTACCTTTTCAGCAGGCGAAAGGATGCCAGTAATCAATATTGAAGACCTCACAGAAAAGGACAAATTGAAGATGGAAGTTGACCAGCTCAAGAAAGAAGTGACGCTGGAAAGAATGCTGGTAAATGGTTGCTCTCTTTCCATTTTATTTTAAACTAGAGACACTCTCAAAGTACCAGATTAGAAAATATCACTGGAGAGGTTCCATATAGTAAAATTATTCACATAAAAACTTACCTAAGATTAAGAAAACTAGTAATGACAATTGTCTCTTGATTTAGACTCTTAAATCAAATAATTGTTCAACTGTTTTACACAGATCAAACCAAACCCTTAACCTGTTTTTGTATGACGGCTAAGCTAAAAATGATTTTACATTGTTAATGAGGAGAAAGACAGAGAGAAAAAAAAGAAGGAAGGGAGGAAGGAGGAAGGAAAAAAAGGAGAGAAAAGGGAGAGAGGGAGGGGGAAGGGAGGAGGAAGGAAGGAAGGAAGGAAGGAAGGAAGGGAGGGAGGGAGGGAGGGAGGGAGGGAGGGGGGAGGGAAAGAAGAAAAATATGAGACAGAGAACATATTTTAGCTAAGCAATAAAATGAAGCAATGCATAGAGTCATTTTGTTTTTACTTTTCTAAATAGATGTTTCTTATTTGGTGAAATATTTTGATTTTGGAGCAATACTTTAAGCTATGATCTCTTTCCTTTTAGGGCTGTCATGGTCAGTAATAAATGAGCACATTCTATTCTTTTGTAAATAAAGATGTGTTTAGTTTAAGCACAAGTACTTGCTGGTTCCTCCTAAAAACATCTGACAACACTTGGAAATGGTTACCAAGAGTTCTCTGCCATTAGAAAGAGCAGAAATATCAAAGAAATAAAAGTTTCCACCAAATAGTGACTAAATCTTGGAAAATGTAGATATGTATTTTAGATCTCTTCATTTGAGGGGTGTTAGTGGAACAAAAACTCCTCCATGAGTCATAATAACATATTTTATTTTTTGAAAACATCTCATTTTTATCAGGGCAAGTAAAAAGAGGAGTTTGTATGATCTTCATACTTTGCACAAAACTACAGCCAATTAAAATTGGGATTATTAGCTTCTTTTATGTTTATAATCGTCTTGAACTTGCCTTTCACCCTTTCTGTACAGGTAAAACATGTTTTGCTATAAAGTTAAATCAACAAGCAGAAAAGCTCAGAAGATACGCCAAATAAGTCATAGTCTTTATCTTTATAATTCGGGGTGAATAAAATGACCTTTGAGGGCAAAGAAGAGTTATTTGGTTTTCTTAATTTGACATATCCAAAAGCTGTTTTATGATTCATATGCCCAGGATTGTTGTTTTTTAGGCAATTTCTTTCTATTTATTATTCACTTGTGGTAAGTTAGCCTTGGACTTTTTGGGTCAACATCATCTACATCACTATCAGGCTTTGAGGTTCTTTTCCCCATTACTCAGTGATCTTGGAAGTCAAGCTCATTTAATATCAGACTGCAAAGACTCCACATACACACACTCACACACGCACACACACGTACTTAAATGCACACATGTACTCATATTGTCTTTGTCTGTTTAGGTTGCTGTACCAGAACACCATAGACTGGGTGGCTTATAACCAACCAAAATTTATTTCTCATAGTTCTGGAGGCTGAAAATTCTAAGATCAAGCCACCAGCATATTTAGGGTCTGGTGAGGCCCCTCTCCCTTGTGCATAGATAGCTGTCGTTTTACTGTGTCCTCACCTGGTGAAAGGGCTGAGGAAGCTTTCTGGGGTCACTTTTATAAAGACATTAATCCCATTTACCATCCTCATGACCTAATAGCCTCCCTAACCTAGGGGTTAGGATTTCAATAAAGGAATGGGAGGGAGAGCCACAAACATTAATTCTAATATATTTACAATATTTTATTTCATATACAATATTCATATTATTATATAATATTATCATATTTAAAATATAATGGACCTTCCATGTCCTGAATGCATAGTTCTGTCACAGGATGACATAGTATCAGTACAGCATGGTTAAGTGGATAAAATCTGAAAACTTATTTCCAGTTCATATTCTGCTTCCAAAACATCTCTCTGCCTGTGTAATACTCACTTAAGTTATCTAACTTACCAGTGCCTCTGTTTCTTTAAAATGGGGATAGTAATAGCATATAATTCCAAAGACGATTGGAAAAAAATAAACAGAATAATATATGCAAATCTCTGAGAACAATGCTTGGTAATAGCAAGTGCTGTCTATCATTATAGTATTATTGTTATTACTTTAAAATAATTATTGGTGTTTATGAACCAGAGTGATTAAGACTATGCCTCAATCGATTATGCTGCAAGAAACTACCATCATCAGAGTAAGATAACCCTTTGCATTTGGTTTCTAAAGCTGACAGATTTGCAATGACTATTATGTCAATGTAATAGGCAGTGACTAGAGATAATCTTTGCAGTAATAGCTAAAAACAGCCGCCATTGATTGTGCATCTTGTTCTGCCAGCCACTTGGTAGGCATTTAAGACGATCAAGGTAGCTATTCCTATTTTATAGATGAAATAACTGAACCCAAGATGAACTACCTTAAATGAGGATATATGTATAACTAGAAAATAGGTAGAGCCAATATTCAAACCTAGCATGGCCTGAATCCAGTGGCCACGCTCTTTCCACGATGCCATACAATTCCGTATTAAACTACATATATTGATAATAAATCTCACTAAAATAATTTTTAAACACATGCACATGTTTAGTAATTTGTTGCTCCTCCTGTCCTCAGATCCCAGCCACTCTCCAAACCAACTGCTCAGTGACTCTTGAGTTAAGAACAGCAATTTACATCCCCATTCCTATCATCTAGGGAGGGCCAAAGACCTGGTGTTTGGGTGAACGTGTAGGACCACTGAGGAAGAGGAAAGAGATGAATCTAAATTACTGCATGTTTCAAACATGTGTGTAAATCAGCACAAGGATTTTATCAGAAAAAAAAAACAGCAAGTTAGCTAAATAATTTATGGGATGGCCACTTAATGAACTGCTAAAAATAGAGTGGTCCTGTGTTACTGTCATGAATGATATGTTACTTAAAGACAAAAGATGTTGAAGCTAAAATACAACTTGAATTATTTGACTCAATATGTATATGTACACAACATATTTATATTTATGTATGTCTGAAATACTGCTTCTCTCTAGAAGCAGCCTTAAATGGTACATTTACAGGCTCTGGTTGAGTCCATTAAAATATTAAAGTCTGATTTTTACCAACTCATTAGTATAATGGAACAGATGAGTGAAGAACAAGCTCATACACAAAACAAATGATTTGATGCAGAAAATATTTATTTACTAAATGAAGGCTTCATTCTAGATGCCTGGGATACATGGAACAAATCAGCCAAGGTCCCTGACCTCTTGGAGCTCACCTACTACACTGCCATGATTAATCATTGTACATGAGTTTAAAGTAAAATTACCTGTGTACACTTCTGAGAATTTAAGTTTGGCGATAAGGCTGGAATTCAATAATTATTCACTCCTCTCTCCCTTTACAAGTCACATTTTTGGAATGAGGAAAAAGATTTAATCACTATTCACTCTGATGACATCCTTGACTTGTTTTGCCAGCTATGTTCTGTTGCCTGGCTCTTTTTGCTCCGAAGAAGCTGGAGGTAGTGTCTGCTGGGAATCCTTAGCTGGAGTGCTGTCAGCTGCTTAGCCTTTGTCTGTAGATATCTAGGAGGAAAGGGAAGGGAGCAGCTTTTACTTCTATCCTAGAAAGTATATGTACGTTAGCAGAAAGCAGAGAGAATCACATTGGAAAAATACAACATGAAAATGTATTGTAATAAATAAATTCTTGGAATCTGCACTATTCTCTTTTAAACCAAATAAGTCATCTCTTTCTCTTTCTTCTTAAGGTTTCCAAGGCTTGTGAAGAAGTAAGGGATTATGTTGAAGAAAGATCTGGGGAGGATCCACTAGTAAAAGGTGTCCCGGAGGACAAAAATCCATTCAAGGAGCTCAAAGGAGGCTGTGTGATTTCCTAAAAGAAGAAAAATAATCCTTGGAACATCTCGAATTTTAATGATGATATGAATTTTTGTCGCATGTAACAATATTATTGAGGATGTACATGAATTTTAAATTTATAAAGGTAAACATAAAATAAAAATTGGCATGTGATGACACGCAAGTCTACATTTTTCTGAAAATATTTAGCATGGGATTTAAAACACAATTGACAAATACTGACTGATCCTTCCTGAAAAATAATTACTATGTTTTATGAATGATTTCACATTATTACACATTGCTAGCAGATAGTTCACATTTTGTTTTTTCACGTCCCTTTCAACACTTACAATATTCTATCCAGAAATGTTATGGTTAGATTTATATTTTTCCCAACTTTTCTCTTGCTTACTGAACTAGGAAGCCTGTCTTCCCAATACACAGATCATCTATTTTTGCAGCATTTGTGGTGGGAAGATTTTTACTGTTGTTTTATTTTCTCTTTCCCTTTCTCCCTCACCTCATAGTCCCTGGCAATGATGTTAATGTAACTTCTTCCTACTCTCTTACCCAATTCTACTTGTCACCCATGATGTGACTTTTTCCCAGAAAGCCAACTGGATTAAGGGTTCAGTGTGTGGTCACTGAGCACAGTGAATTTCACCAGCCCCAGAAGAAAGGTTATCAGCACAGACTTTGGAGCCAGGGAATTCTGGCTCTGTCACTTCACTGCTCAAGTGGATATATTTCTTAATTTGTTCTAAATCCGTTTCTTCTCCTGGAAGATGACAATAATGATTCGATCCTCTATCTTTGTATGGGGGTTAGACAATACACTACTGCAATCCTAGCACTTAGCATATTGCCTGGCACATGGTGAGACCCAGTAAGGGATAGTAGGATTACTGAGAAAGCAACTAGACAAAATTTCCAGAACCCTGTAAGGTACATGCTGTTCCTTCCCATCCCCACAAAGACTCCATAGCAGGATGATTGCACATGACAGAAAATAGCTGTCACTTCATCAGCCTAGTAACCACCATCTCTCTGGCATTTTACTGAGTTTGCATAAGCCAAATTTCACTACCTTTGTGTCAGTGACTAAGAGATAACTTGCCTCAGCATCAGGAACAACAGACAAGTGTAATTACACCAAATCGGAAACTACTGTTGTTGTCAGTTTCCTTATCATTATCTCACATGTATAGGGCTATTATGACTGCTTCAGAGATCAAAATCCTCAGAAATGCTAATTGATCGTCAACCTTTAAAAAAAACAAACAAAGAAATAAAAGTCATCTGTTATTTGGTCTGGAACAGAGTCTGAAGGGCCAAACAAATTTGGATCCCAGCACCATGACGGCAGTAACTGCTCAACAAGTGTCTGTGGACTCTTGTCCAACTCCTCCATCTTGAAATGGGGAAAAGAAAGGTTCAGAGAAGTGAATTGGCAGCTTACACAGGTGAAGATTTTGAGTCTCCGGCTCAACAGTGAGCAAGAAATACCTCCCACCATGTATCTTCAGCCAATATGCTTTGAGCATTAAGAGATTCCAGGAAAAATTACAGAATCTCTCTTATCCCTTTTTCCTCAGAAGAAGCCCTTTCCTTTGATTTAAGATTACAAACCCCACTCCATCCACCCTTAGCACTTCCCGTCTTCCTTTTCACTCTATTTCCTCCCGTAGCACCAGTCACCACCTGGTGTACTATATTTCATTTATTTATTTAATTGTGGTCCATGTCTTCCACGTACAAGTTAGTGTTTCTTTAATGAAATATTTCATAGATCTTTTTTTAGTAAGAGAAATCTGAAGTCCTTGCTCTGCATTCAATCCTGATCAACGTTCCTAACTTTCTTTTTACAGCTGCAGATTTTGGAGCCTCAGGATTCTAAGTTAAGACTCTGGCTCTGCTAAAGTCTAGTGGAGAACTTGGACAAGTTTCTTCAACTCTCTGGACTTGTTTTTACTTTTACATATATTAATGGATGATTAGGATGGATCTTCATGTGGATGCTTATAATCCCTTAGATCAAAGATAGGTATAGAAAGAAGCCTAGGGTGGCGCCTGCGGTTCAGTGAGTAGGGTGCGGCCCCATATACCAAGGGTGGTGGGTTTGAACCCAGCCAAACTGCAACAAAAAAATTGCTGGGCTTTGTGACAGGTGCCTGTAGTCCCAGCTACTTGGGAGGCTGACGCAAGAGAATCGCCTAAGCCCAGGAGTTAGAGGTTACTGTGATCTGTGATACTCTGGCATTCTACCGAGGGTGACAAAGTGAGACTCTGTCTCTAAAAACAAAAAAAAGAAGAAGCAGCCTAATAAATACTTTTTATTAGTGTATGTTCTGTAGATTTTCTGTAGTTAATAAACTTAACTATTAAATAATCACTGACATGACACCACATTTTCCCATCTTCTGGAATTTTTTCATACTGATGCCACCACCTGAAATGTCTCTCTACTCCATCCCACTTCAGCCTTCTGAAATCTTACTGCTCTTCTGAAAAAGACTGTCCCTCATTCTACCTCAAGAGTATTTTTTTGTCTCTAAAGTTATTTAACATTACTTTCTCTTATTATAATTTGTATGCTATACATTTCCCAAACCAGAATCTCTGTTCGTCTTTGAAACTGCCATACCAACTAACAAATTATCTCTACAATTTGGTTGACTTCATAAGTACTTAATTTAAAATTAAAATCAGACAAAGACATCACAGATAAAATGTTTATACTGGATAATACGGAATCTTTATTGGATTAATTAACAATTAAGCAAACATTAGGGTGAAATTCCTGTTGCTTAAAAAAACAGATTATCAGCAGAATTTTGAATAAGAGAGACGCCATAGGAAGGAAGCCTAGAGAAAGACAGTCCAGGAAGGAGGAGATTAAACCATGGCTGTCCACAGGTTACATAGTTATAACCAGCAAGGACTCTGCTTGGTTCAGAAGTTGTTATTCCAGGCCCAGGGTTTACTAGGTTAAAGAGAATGAGGCAAGATATCAAATAAAAAAAAATTACTCCAACCTCAACATTTGGCTCTTCAACAAAACTTTCTGATATCACTAGTGAGAACGAGGGACTAGAGATACTACAATATATCATTGGAGCTGCTTGGAATGTAAGGTATTTTGCACACATAGGTGTGTGCACGCTTTAGTGAGAAAAAAACAAAAACACCTTACTGTTATTTAATTAGGACTGACTTGATTTTAGCCAGATCTCACATAAAGCTAATATCAAACTTCCTAAATTCCTAGAAGAATGTATTAACATGAGGAAAGCAGTAAAATGAGAAATGAGACTGACCGATTATCCATATGTGATGAGAATTAAAGTCTTTTAGGAATAAAATGGATAAGAGAAATCATTTGGATATCATGAATTATAAGTAACTTTTAAAGTAATCAGAGCACAGATAATGTCCTGTGACTTGGCATTGTCTTTATCTAGAAGTCTTAGGCCTGTAGTTATATGAAATGAGTGAGTTCCTGAAAATTGCCACGTGATTGTTTTAGCAGAATGAACCAAGGGCATATAAATACTTTCCTTATAGAAACCATCATTTTAATGGCCTGATGGTCACCATTCACGTTAGAGAAAAGAACAGAACTTGAGAAATAACTAGTTTACTTATACCAACCACAGAGGTAGAGGGAATGTGTGTCTTGCAAAAATTACAGGATAAAATAAGATCAGCATTTTGGTCTCTTTTGGGTTCAAATTAGCATTAAGTCAATCCCAGTGCAATATTTTCTTCTATAGCTTTCTTCATATAGATTTTACACAACATATTTAATAAAACAGGAAAATAGCCAACAAGTGTTTTCCTACTTTTGCACATCAAAGTAAAAATTTCATCGGTCATTCTTTTACAATTTGAAACTGAAAATGGTTACTTCTCTTTGTATTAACAGATTTCTCTAAAACATTTGTTAAAAGTAGGTTAATTAATAAAAATTCATTTCTGCTTATACTTGTCATTTGTTCTGCACAATGATTTCTGCTCATTTTTGTTAAAATAACTCTTACTGTGGCTCATTGAGTAGGGCACTGGCCCCATATACTGAGGGTGGCAGGTTTGAACCCAGCCCCGACCAAACTGCAACAAAATAGTAGCACCTGTAGTCCCAGTTACTTGGGAGGCTGAGGCAAGAGAATTGCCTAAGCCCAGGAGTTGAAGGTTGCTGTGAGCTGTGACATCACTGCACTCCACAGAGGGCGACATAGTGAAACTTCTTCTCTTTAAAAAAAAAAAAAACTAAAAAAAGAACTGAAATAATTCTTATTAGGAGTAATATGTAAAATATAACTAAAACATTAATGCTACACTTGGACAGAATTTATACAGAGTTTTAAATTTTATTTAGTCAGAATTTTTATTCAAAAATTTGTTTATTCAAGCCTTTTGAATATTTCTGATAGACTATTTCTGCAAGAATACATGAAAAATTGCTTAACATGGTTCTCTCTGGTGGATAAACTCAGGGCTAAAGATAAAAGACCATGTATCCTTTTGCTAAAAAAAAAAAAAAAGTTCTTACCACTTCACCATTTCAAACCAAATGACAACAACAACAACGAAAACATTCTTCAGAATGCTGTGTGGTCATGGCATCTCAGCATTCACAATTCATTTTTAGTTTAAACACTTTACGTAATAACATATTACACTAGTCATCATTTGATGACAAAAAAAGTGAAAGTAAGTACACTAATGTGTATTTCATCTCTAGTATAAGCCTCATAATCCTGTGGAAAAAGTTAGAGAACCAATGTGGGTTTATAAATACAGTATTTATCTCTCTGTGCAACCGGATGATTTCACAGGGAAGAAATTTTCAGGTTAAAATAATTCTATGGTTAAGATTTAGGACAGGCATACATTAATTTACTTAACCAACTTATTTAATTTAGACACTGAACTTGTTTAATTTAGACCACATTGCCATTTTTAACCAAGCTTTTAAATTTAAGGAATAGAAAGCCAAAAAAATGAATCACTGCTAGAGACAGATGTGGGCTTTCGTCCCGGCTCACGGCTTACTAGCAAGGAAAACTTCAGCAGACGATCTAACGTCTTTGAGTCTGGGAAACCCTGGTATCTCAAATATAGAAAATGAAGTTCCCACACGCTTTCTTTGTGAAAGTAATCAACATATATAGATGTAGAAATACAGTTAGAGATGCAACATATGTTAGCAGATTCACCTTCTTGCTGCCTTAACGCAAATTTTACAAACGAGAAAACCCAAACTCAGAAATATACGAGCGACTTTTCCAGTGATGACCAGGGACAGAGCTGGAACTATAACCAGGGAGTACTCATTAAGTAGCTCATTTTGTTCTTTTCATTCTAATATAGTCATTGAGGACAAGTGGGTGGAGTCTGGAAAGAAACGATGAACAAACAAAAACTTTTTCTTACTAAATAGAGAGTGGTTGTGGAAGTCTAAGATCATGTACTCTGAAATATTCAGTTAATGCTCTTCTCTTGACTTGAACTTGACTCTATCAGGCAGGATGTTATCTTTGGAGAGAAAAAGGTCTGACTACTTGGGAAGGTTCTTACATTCGTGTTCTCTTTTCTTCTCGTCTTCTGAACACCATCACAAGGTTTTTGGTTATCGTCAAAGGGAAAGTTTTATTACACCAGAATATTTTTCACATCAGACATTTTTCCTGGCTTTAGAAAGTGGCAGCTAGATGCGTATTACTTTCCAGAAAGTGGAGAAGCCGATACTAATTGAATCCACTGCCTATAACCAGGAATGTGCCTGAGCCAGGCGTTCAAAATCCTGGGTGTCAAGTGTCACGCAAACCTTGGGGTGAGAACTTCAAGGCTTCTGTCTTCCCTCACACCATCCACTCATTAGAAAACATTCCCAGGGAGAAAAGAAGAAATGAAAACTCTGCCGCTGAAGACGCAGGTAATTGTTTAATGACAGAAAATGTCCATGCAAGTGGTAAACAATATTGCGCTCCTGATCTCTCCTTCTCCCTCAAAATGTATGCATTCATTATAGGCCTTTAACTGACTACGCGAATAGACATCAACAGGCTCTGGTGGGTATTTCTGAGGTTATAGCTGAGTTTCATTTCCTTCTGGTCCTTTCTGCAAGTGTCCACATTTCCCACAAGACACACACAGACACACACACACACACAGAGAAAAGTTCTGTACAGCACAGCTCTTTAAACTTGCAGAGGTGCGGGGCCATTAGTTCCTGCTGGGTAGTGTCCTCCTTTTCCTAGCTTCGCAAACAAAACCCGGATGTGACTTGGAAACGGAAAAAAAAAGGGGGGGGGGGGGCAAAAAGTAAAACTGCTAGCCCCAGCCCTGCCGGCCCCAGCCAGGCCGGTCCCCGCGGGCGTGGCAGGGTCCCGAGCCAGGGCCCGCCCGGGCAGCATCCCTGCCGCGGGATCCAGCAGCTCAGACTTAGCTCCCACCCAGCCCCCAGCTCCCCGGGAGGGAGGACTGGAGAGAAGCCGAGGGCCGTCACATCCCGCAGCGGGGACCCGCCGGCGTGACCCGGCGCCCCGAGGAGGCCGCGCCCCCCGGGACCCGCGGCGATTTCGGCCTCGCCGCGCCCCGCAGCACTCGCGGCGGCGCCCCCGCCCCGGCTGGAGCTGGCCTCGGGTCTGGGTCGAAAATGCCCGCCCTGCACATCGAAGATTTGCCCGAGAAGGAAAAACTGAAGATGGAAGTGGAGCAACTTCGCAAAGAAGTGAAGTTGCAGAGACAGCAGGTAAGCGGCTGTTCCAGAATAGTCTCTTCTCTAAAGGGAACCAGGGGTCAGCTTGCGCTGGTTCGTCACAGCAGAAAGGACAGGTTTTATTTTCTTTCCTTTTAGGGTTTCTGCAAGTAGGGCTTTGGCAGTGTCTGGGAAATGCCAGCGGAGGTGGTGAAGTCGTGGGAGGTGAAGGAGAGGGAGCAGGGACCCCGGGAGGAATTCAAAGCCAAATGTCCTAACATTTAAGAAGCCTGGAACGAGGGGAAGGGACAAGAAATCCAGTCTTTTATTAGACAACGGGTTTCAGGGTGCAGTTGTAGAAAAAGGCATGTAACTACTTGGGTCTTTGACCTTTCTCGTTACGGTAAAGGATGGTATTTGAAAGAATTTTTCTAAAACTGTATTTAAAATAAAATCTTAGAACAACACTACTTAGTTTTGAATTTCACCAGTAGTCTTCGGTGGCGCACTATGAACACTCCACTGGAGCTTGGGAGCAAAATATGAGAATTTCTATTTTTATTTATGTGTAAATTTTATCTATTTATAATACATACTAGATTAAATAAGGTAGCATCTGTATTTATGTATAAATAATTATACATACAATGAAATGGTTAAATATAGCCTCCTGAAACCAGAACAGTAATTGTTCACTTTTAGAGGTTACAGACCTCTTTGGAAACTTAATGAAGAAGTGCTAAAAGAATAGATACAATGTATCTTATAGGTACCTGGAATATGAATCTTACCCAGAACTTTCTCCGGGGCCACAAACCCCAGATTATTATCAATTCTGATAATTAACTTAAAATGCACACACTGTGAATGTCAGCAACAATTGAAAGCAAGCGGTACCTAAAAGAATACTACTTTAAAAAAGTTTATTTTGCCACATTTTAAGTCACATAAATGCACTACTTAGTTTTCAGTTTTATATCCGAGACCTCCGTGCTCATCTGCAAACAGTAACCCTTTGGGGCACAGAAGTAAACTATTAACACTTCTAGTTTTGTTTAGCTTTAAATCTCATTCTTTTATAATTTCCAGTTTATGTTTTATAATTATGCACGATAAGCTGACAGTAGCATCTGCACTTATTTACAGGTAAATAATTATATACATTTTGGGATAAACACTGTATATGCAAACACCTTTTATTGATAACCATTGAAACAGTTTGAAGTTACCAGATTACAAATTAAATGGGAACATTTGCCCAATTTTAATAGGTCTCCAGTGAAATTTTTGGAGCTTCTATAGTTTTTACTTCTAATTGCTTCTGAGTAATACAGGACTAATCCCTAATCCTTTTTCTTCCCTTTTTTTTTTTTTTTTACAAAAATCCTCATCCTTCCAACCTGTCTCTTAAGAATAGACTTTTTGAAGAACCTATTGAATCCTTTCTCCATTGCAGACAAAATTTAGTATCAGATAAGCTTAATAAGCCTAAATAAGTCTTATTCTGATGATAAGTCTTATTCTGATGATGATCTTCATGCAGCAGGAAAGAATTCTGAGCAGACACACAGTAGGATATCTGGGCAATGTCAGCCTTCCCAGAGTCAGGCTTTTTCCAATGCTTCTATTATTTTGTACAATGCCAGGGTATAGCATGCACTTATAAGTGAAAATGGTGGTATGAAACACCCCAAAACATTTGGGGATCATCGATTACTGCACCTGCTCATCAGCATGGCAAATTGAAAGCAGAGTATGATTTAGCTCCTAGAATATTATAGGCATGCCATAATTGTATTTTAATAAAGGAAGGAAACCACATCGCCAAAGATGATTTATTTACTACAGTGACTTTCAAACCTTTTCAAGACTGATCATTAGTAAAAAATACATTGGATATAGGTTGTATCATATATAATAGAATAGAATAAAATTGTTAGAATCCAGCATAAGATTATATATGTGTGTGTGTGTATATATACATTCATTTTTTAAAAAAAAAAAAAAACTTTTTAGAAGCTGGTTGTATTTAATTATAGTAATTTCACTATAGAGTGCTGATAAAGTTTAAACAACTCAAACCTGATCTATCCTTTTTTCCCCCCACACTTAAGGTGTCTAAATGTTCTGAGGAAATAAAGAACTATATTGAAGAACGTTCTGGAGAGGATCCTCTGGTGAAAGGAATCCCAGAAGACAAGAATCCCTTTAAAGAAAAAGGCAGCTGCATCATTTCATAAATAACTCTGGGGAGCAACTTTATCCTCAGTGGAAGAATTAGTTTATTTTAGTTTTCCCAAATAAAACCAACGTGCCTTTTAAGGAAGTAAAAATGAAATGTAAAGGAGACTTTCTTAAGCACCCTCTATTCATAGATAAAGTTATGAAAGCATAGGTAACTGTCAACCTTGCTCACTGTACACCTTTTTTAAAAGTACAGAAATTGCCATCTGTACAATTTTGAGAATAAGAACATGATTCGTGCATGACTCACTTCTTTTCGTATGTTGCTTGATGCCTCAAATAAAGTTTTCTCTTGGGAAAATGAGTGTCGGTGACTGAAGCAGGCATTTTTCTTACCCTAACTTTTATATTTCTCTCCCTAACTTTTTCCGTGTTTAGGATATGCATCAAAAAGTTGGTGGTGTGATAAATGATATCTCCAATCCATCTCTCTGTGTCAAAGGTTTATAGTGCTAAGCTTTGACTTCCGGAATGTGTTTGATCGAAACTTAACTATTATTAGAGAGCTGAGTGGGGAGAATTCCTAATAACATTTCCTTAGTTTCTTTCCATTTAGGATCTTGTCCAAAGTGTTCCTACAGTAGTGGCCTTAGGAAAGGGATAGGGTTGGGGATTAGGAAGAGCACCCTGCCTCCCTGAAACATGGGTCCAGGCCACCCTGGGCTTAAGGACCTGGTAATTTTGCCTGCCCAGAGTTGCATCTCTCACGTGCTGTCTAGGCCTAGGACAGGGCACTACTCTAGTCCTGTGGCATTGGCACAGACACTTGGACATCTTCACCCACTCTTCCCAGACTTTTCCAGCAGGCCTGGCCCTTGCATCCCTCTTTTTCTTCTCCTCCAAAGGACGGCTGAATCTTTACCTACTTTAAAAATTAATTTGCTTTGTTTCTTACTGATTTGTAGGAATTCTTCATGTATTCTGGCAATTCATCTTTTGCTGGTGATAGCTGTTATAAATACCTTCTCCTGGTCCCCAGCTTAAGTTTTTGTAGTGGCCTTAGCTTTAGTTTCAGGAGTACAGTGCCAACAAAAGGACTAGCCCAGATCTCAAGGAAAGGGACCTGCCTTTCTCTCCTTGAGCATTTTCCCTCTCTGTCTTTTGGATACAAATACTCCAAGTTTAGACACAAAGAAAAACAAGGAAACATCCTTACTGGTTACCTCAAATGGGCTTGATTCCTAATTTGCCTCACCATTTTAAATGTGGCACTGGAAGCCCACATTTCTCCTTGATTAGACCTTTTCTCTCCCTTGTTCGTGTCAGTGGCCCTCACTTCCCAAGCTAGACAGGTGTCTGACCTTCGGCAGCTTCCTAAGGATCCCGATACCCTAGGCTTTCAGAAGAGTAGCTTCCGCTAGTCCAAGCACAGGGCTGTTTCCGTTACTTTCCTGCCATTTTCCAAGTGATGATGTCAGTTGGAATTCCTGAGAACAACCCAGGGATAATTTTAGCCCAAAGCATGATCTACTCTAGCGGTTCTCAACCTGTGAGTGGCAACCCACAGGAACTGTATTAAAGGGCCACAGCATTAGGAAGGTTGAGAACCACTGATCTACTCCAAGGTCAGGTTTAAAAACAATAAAGGTACGTTTCTTCCATCATAAAACAATTGGTATTGGGGGTGTGTTGCTACTCTTAATCATTTCAACATTTAACAAGGCGTTGAATTTTAGTAACTTGGTGCTTATAAAGTTGGATGTCAGTGTGCTGTTTTGTTTCTTTCCATTTACACGATTTCCTTCTGTTGTGTATGAAAACAAACATCTATTCTGGCTACCAGTAAAATAGATCAAATCGCCTGCTTCTTTCATGAATGGCCAAGACAACTCATTTATTCCCTAACTTCCTGAGAGTTGTTATTACAAAGGCACATCCTGAATCTCTACTAGCTGTGAACAGCTACTCATTCCCAGACACCCCTCAGTCCTAGGTTTTGCTCTTCATGTCTCTTTCAGCCATATGACAAATAAGTCAGCTGACTCTGCTTTTCCTCAATGCATTTCTAATCTTGTAGGAGTTTCTATCAAACCTAATTCTGTTAATTTTTTTTCTTATTATTTCAGCAAATACACAGAAGTAAAATAAAACCATTTTGCTTTTCAAGCGTCCAACTGCTCTAAATGTCTTAGTTTGCATTAGGAAGAGAAAGAAAAATGGAGAAGCTTCCTTGTTAGATACTTTATACATGTAACCATCAGTAAGTGAGAGTTTAAGTGGCGTTTAAATCATGTTTCTAATTTCTTCCAATTTAAATAGAATTTAAATCATGTATCCAATGGATATGTAATCATTTGCTATTTGATTAAAAATTCTTACCATGGGTGCTTTGAGGACGGAGACTTAGATTCTACAAACTCTTACAAAATTTGAAAAATTGGGCTTTTCTATTTCTAAGCAGAATCTACCTTATAAGCAAGCTCCCTCAGACTGGATATTATAAAACAACTCATTTTTTTACATTGAATGCAAATTATTATATGTTACTACTGTCGAAATTTGCATTTCCTTGATTTCCAGTGATTTTTTAGTCAGTTCTTCATGTATGTTAATTGTTTGTTTTGAAGATGCCCATTTGCATCTTTGGTTCATTTAAAAAATTAGTTTGCCCTTTTCTTATTGATTTATATACAATTGTTACATAATCAGGTCATTCCTCCTTTGTTGGCAATACCTGTTGTAATACCTCCTTCCATTCCATGGCTTAATTGTTCACTATGTCGTTATCTGTTGGTACACAAACGTCTAATTTATTACACTTTTTATTTTGAAATGATTATTAATTCACAGGGTTCAAATAAATGTATAGAGAAATATATTGCACTTTCCCCCCAACTTCCACCAAAGTTCATGTTTTCTACAACAATTGTACAATATTAAAACAAGAAATTAACATTTACATTGATAGTGTTTGTTCAGATTTCAACAGTTGCACTCGTGTGCTTCTCTGTGTTTGTGTAGCTCTGCACAATTTTTATCACATGTAGCCTGTGGACCTCCCGCCACAATCAAGATACTCAAGTGGAATATCATAAGATTCTACCTTGGTTTTCCTTTATAATCACACTCATGTCCTTGTCTTTCCCTAGAAACCATGAATTTGTCCCCCCTCTCTATAATTAAATGAAGAATGCTACGTAAATTAAACCCTGCCGTAGATATCCTTTTGAGATTGACTTTTATCATTCAGCATAATTTCTTTGTGGTTCATCCAAGTTGTTGCATATGTATCAATAGTATGTTTTCTTCCTATTGCTGAGCAGTATGACATGCTCTAAGTGTGGCGTGGTTTGTCTAACCATATACCCACAGATGGACATCTGGGTTGTTTTCAGTTTGGAGCTATTGCGAATAGATGTGCTAGGAACATTCATGTCCAGATTTTATCTTATGAAAATAAGGCTTTATTTACTTGGAATAAACTTTCAGAAATACATTTGCTGGGTTCTGTGGGAGATTCATGTTGAGTTTTCAAAGAAACTGCCAAACTGTTTCCCAGAGTCACTGTATTCCTTTACAGTCTCATCAGCAATGCATGAACAGTCCCGTTTCTCCACAGTCACCATGTTATCATTATTTTCATCTTCCCCGTTCTCTCATTATGTTTTAACTTTCGCTTCTCCAGTGTTCACGAGGTGGAACATTTTTCATATGCTTATTTTCAATCTATACGTCCTCTTTGATGACACAAGCATCTAATTTGTTTATTTCAAGGCTGAATTTTGAGAGCTCTTTATATATTTGAGATACAAGTCCTTGGTTGACTTTTAAATACTTTCTTCCAATCTATACTTTGTTTTCTTAACCACTTAATGTCCCCCTTTGCCCCAGAATAAATATTTTTAATTTGATGAGGTCTAATTTATCAATATTTTTTCTTATGCATCATGCTTCTGGTACCATGTTTAAGATTTAAACTAATCTTAATCCCGTAGACTTTCTCCTATGTTTCTTTTAAAAGTTTTATAGCTCTCTGTTTTATGTTTAGGTCCACGTTCCGTTTTGAGTTAATTTTTATATGAAGTATGAAGTTTAAATATTTTATTTATTTGTTTTGTTGCCAATGGATGTCTAATTCCCCTAGCACCATTTATTGAAAAGGCTATCCTTCTGTTAGTGAGTTGCTTATGCTCTTTTGGCAAAAATTAAGCACATATTTGTATGTATGTATTTCTGGGTGTTCTTTTCTGTTCTATGCATGTATGTGCCTCTTCTTCTGCCAGTGTCACACTATCTGGATTTCTACAGCTATGTAATAAGTAGCAACATCAGAAAGAGCGATCCCTTATACTTTGTTATTATTTTCCAAAATTGTTTTGACTATTGTATGGCCTTTCTCCTTCCATGTAAGTTTTAGAATAGGCTTATCTATGTTTGCAAAGTAACTAGATACCTCCGCAGTAGAGTGGAGATGACAGAATATAGAATCAGTGAACTTGAATGCAGATCTACAGAATTTACACAATGTGAACAACAAAGAGAAAATTGATTGGTTAAAAAAAAAAGAGCAGATCCACAGGGATATGTAGGATGGTAACACCAGCATAATCAGGGTCCAGGCAAAAAAAGGAGAAATGCATGAGACTGAAAAAGTCATAAAAGAAAAATAATGAGGAAAAATTTCCAAAGTCTGGTGAAAGATACAAATCTAAAGATTCAAGAAGATGAGCAAGTTATAAATAGGATATTAATAGTTATAAATAGTTATAAAAAGTTATAAATAGGATATAAATAGTTATAAATAGTTATAAAAAGTTATAAATAGTTATAAATAGGATAAACCTGAAGCAATTTATACCTAGACAAATCATAATTAAACATCTGTATAATAAAACCAAGTAAAAAACTTATAAAATACCAGCCATAAATGATACAGTAGATATAAAGAAAGATGAATTTGAATTAAATGGACTTTCTCATCAGAACCCATGGAGGCCAAAAGGAAGAGGCATGACATTTTTAAGCACTGAGAAAACAGTATCATTCCCATTGAGTCTTACACCAGGGAAGCTATCCTTCGGGCATGAAGAGGAAATAAAGACATTCGGGGTGAAGGAAAATGAGCAGAACTTGTTGCTAGCAGACCTCTTGAAGCATGGCTAAAGGAAGCTCTCAAAACAAAAAGAAAATATGAACAAAAACAAAAATTTACTCTTATGAAAAGAACACAAGATAGAAAGTAAAAATGGAGGCAGACATTTAGATGATCATTCAGCTTATAAATTTCCTTAATCATACTTTCTGGTTGTAGCAAAAGATATGATTTGGTGTTCCCTATATGTAGAGAAAATAT